AACTGCTTAACACAGTTCTCCAGATCTTGCTTCAGATCTTGCAATTGCAGGGCTGGAAAACAGAAAATGCCAGGAAGGTTGCAGCCTCTGCTTTAACAGCAGTTCCCTCCAGGGAGTGGCAAGGACAGCAAGTTTCCACTGGATTATTCTTCCACAATGTGTGCATTTATTAAAGGTAAATAAACACTACCTACAATTTTTTTGAAGTCAATAAAAGGAATTTTTATTTAAGAAAAAATAAATGACCATGTGTGTGACACCGAGTGAGCAAAAGACACTGCAGGGAAATGAGGTCTCTGGGAGAATGAGAGGCATTCATAGAAGCTAGAAACTGAGTCTTTTTTGTCCCAAACAAGGATACTCATATTTCACGGACATAGAGACACTGAGATTGATTCAGAAACAAAAGGATATACTAGTATATAAAAGCTCCCTGAAATCAAGGCTAACAGGTTATTTGTATATGTCATACTGTTTGGGGACATAATATGTGATGAATACGCTATTAGAATATAGAATGAAGTATGCTATTAGAAGAAACCTCAAATGTTGCAGGTGCTTATCTCTTGGGGACAGCATCTTAAGCAATGGATACCCTAAAGGATCAAAGCAAGCTGGTCTGAGATGCATCACATCTGTTCATGCTTCCTGTATCCACTGTAATGCTGTTGGTTCTGTATTCCTGGGTGAATAATCAGGAAGAAAATCTAAATGTGGGTGTGGGAGAAATTCCTTCTGCCAATTCATTACATATCAATCCACTTGTGAATTCACACAATCTTTCCCACATTCTTGTATTATATCTAAAAGATGAGTCACACTTTGAATATTGTATTCCGGGTAGATTTCCTCATTTACAGAGGGAAAACTGGCAATATGGTCATTCAACTTTTCCCTCCTTAGTGAAATCTTCAGCAGTGTCATTTGTAGAACAAGGTGATGAGGAGACAGGACTTCATTCCATCACATTAGAATCTGCTCCAACTCATGCAGTGCTGAGACAGCCGACAAATAAATTCCCAAGTAAGTTCAGTTTACAATGTAAGCTTTTACCATGAAGATAACTGGTAAAAGTATTCCTATATTTGATGAAAAGAAAGTATCCTTTCAAATTATAGAGTAATTTGCCTCATTCCTGAGATGATTTGGAAAAAGATAAAAAAATTTTAAAGTAAATTCCTTTAAAGTACTTAAAATATCCCACAGTAACACAAGTATTTTGTTCTTTTAAATTCATGTAACCTTTATCTAAAGCAGAGCACAGAACTTCAATATATACTCTACTCCAGAGAGAACACCTCGCCTTTAAATTCATCTTTAAAGGAAAAAGGAATGAGGTAAGAAGGCAGAGAGGGAAGAAAGAGAAAAAGAGAAGAAAAGAGAGACAGGGACAGAGACAGACAGAGAGAAAGAGACAGAGAGACAGAGACTGAGACAGACAGATCCTTGGAAATTCCTTACAAATTGCTTAAAAGAAAAATATTTTCAATCTATGAACCTCCAGAGTCCATGATGGGTAGTTGGAAAAAGACATCTTGCTGAACTTGCCAGCCTAAGATACTGTAGTAAGCATATGTTTCAATAATCAATCAAAGGTAGAGAGAAGAGCATGTAACAACAGACATCTGATGAATGTGTGGACAGGAAATCGGAGGTTGGTACCATGATGCTTCTTTGATTCTAAGACCTATCATGTCTGCAATGTCGATCTGCTTATTTTGCTTTGGTATAGAAAAACAAACAAATAACACCAAAAACAAAGCTATGTCAATTTTCAAACCTCAGTTAATGTGACTCATATGCTAATAAAACCCATCTGTAGAAGAAACCACTTTCTTTCAATATTCTTAATGAGTTTGTTTAATTCACAATGTGGAACTCAGGGTATATTCACAACTGAGAAAAATGCATTTTGAGTTCCAAGTGTTGCTTCACTTATGATACAGAAGCAACTTTAAATTACCGTACTCAATTGGATAAACTTGTTCTGAAGAAAGCTAGAGAACATATCTGACAGATAAATACAGAGCAATAAGGCTAATCATCCCGTGTCATCCAACTTGAAAATCAATGAGCAATTTATCCATAAATTAGTGAAATTCACACAGAAAATAGCTTCTAACTCTGTAAAGCTTCATGAATTCACAGTCTACATGGTGACCATGTGTTAAGAAATAAATATTGTGAGTTTCCCACCTCTGATACGAATCCTAACTAGTCTTCAATTGCCCAGACGTCAGCAATTTTTAAACATGCTTCACAAAGCTTCATATTTTAAGTACAACTCTGCTAAAGAGATTAACCTGGAAGAAAATTTTTGAGTTTTCAAAATCCATAATTCAATCTATTGGTAGTAGAATATTGATAACCTGAGTGTGTGAATATGTGTGTGTGCGTGTGTGTAAATTAAACTATGGTCTTTCAATCTCAATGTTGTATAAAGCACTTAGGAAATACAGAGATTTAACCAGGATTCTCCAACACATGCAAAAAAGTCAAGTTGTATATACCTAGTTCCAAGAAAAAGCAGGTATATTCTGTTTTAGCAACTTAAACCTTTAAAAATTAAATGAAGAATTTACTCAGCACACACTATGAGAAAATATTTACTCAATATGATCTAATTATAATATACTCAGTACACTTAAGACTTTAGTAGTTCTTTTGAAAATGCACATTTGTGGAAAAAGATCTTAGGTTAAGCAAATTAACTTTTCAAATTAACAATTTACTTCATTAAATATTTAATGATTTTAAAACTACAAAAGGGAAAATAAAAGGCTACATTTTTCTCAGGTATACTTCTATAATAAATAATTTGCAGTATTTTCATACATAAACTGTTGAAATATGTAAATTATCTTCTTAAAGTTCTAACTCTTAAGCATCTGAAACAATCACTTATGATACTCTCTTTAAAAATTTTATTTGCATTTCTTAGACTAATACCTTAGTTGAATGAAATTCTGTTTTTATTTGGTTCTTTATTTAAGGTTACTAGATGTGGTCTAAATAGTATCAAGCCTATCCAAACTGTCGCGCATCAACTCTGCCATAATAATGCACTTCACTAGTTTATTGAACTGAATTATTCAAATGTAAAAGTTAAATGAAGATGAAATCTATGTGGCATGAATGATATGCATATACATATACATATATATAAATCATATAATCAAGTGCCCACCTTTTGGTCAGAATGTCTGTTTTACTAATTTAGTTGTGCTTTAAATATAGACATTTTCTTGGTATTCCTAAATTGGGAGCTGCAGCTCAATCTACTGCTACCAGGCACACCAACATACAAAGAAAAAGGGCAATATTATCCAAAATATTTGACATGGACTCTAATTTTAGTAATTTACAAAAATGAAATATTTTACCATTTCAAAATTACATCATTTTTTAAAATGATATAAAAATGCTGTCTTAACACATCTGCATTTGGGAATTTCTCTGTTACATGCAACTCCTTTAATAGGAAATTTAATTTCAATTCAGTGTAAAATAAAACATCACCTTTAAGTTTATATAAGCCACTATTAGCTCAAATTTATGTTATTTCGTCTAAAAATTAGTCATCAGGTTAAAAATGATGAATAAAATGGACATATTTCTTATCTTGCTATTATTTAATTTATACAAGCTTGAATAAGGCATAAACAAAACAACTATGACTTGTGAAACACGAAACAATTTAAATCTGTACAAATTTTAAGTAGCAATTCTATGTTTTCAGTCACGCAAAACAAAAATATACATATTTAATCTATTCTGGAGCAAAAACTTTCCTCTTACTTGACAGGTGACTAGGCAGCAGTAAAAGATCCATTAATTGCAGCAATTTTCAGAATTTCAAACAATCACACTACAGTAAAATGTTATGCTGAACTATTTTATTTGTTTCTTCCCTAACAGAATTTCAGTTAGCTTCTCTGAGTTTGATTACTGTGTCACTACATTTTAAAAGTCTTTGTAAATAAAATATTACTGACTTTAAAGTTGTTTTTAAAGAATCTCTTTCCTACTTCCTGGTAAAGTTTAAAGATTACTTTCTGATTATAGCACATAATTCCTCTGCTTACTTTAATAGTAAACTTTAAATAGTGGCAAATTTTTTTTGTTTTTTTTTTCTTTCCTGAGCACACAAATGAATGCAAAGACCAACAATGAATCACTGGCGTGTAAAGTTCACATTGTTTAATGAACAGTAAGTCTTAGTACCTTCAGAATGAATCAATTAGGTGAATAGAGAAAAAAAATTAAAAAGTAAGGAAGTTCCTTGACTTTCTTTGAATATTTAAAAATTGAAATATTTATCATTATACAAGGTGTATCTCCCAACGTGACACACGTGTGAGATGGAATTCTATCCTTAGATTTGTTACAACTTTCCTTAGTAATTAGGAAGCTATATGTCCTGGATAGAATGATGCTAACAAGCTCCTGCAGTTTCTGCTCTAGCAAGAAATCAAAGAGCGCCAAAGCAGACAACTCACTTCAGTAAAAGGATTACACAGTCTGGTTATTAAAGCACACAAAACTTGTCTACAATTTTAGATCTGATAAGACTTTCTAAGAGTCAGATTCCATACCAAACATGCTTACTAACAAAATTAAAGTATGGCCATGGGATGTATTTAAGAAAAAATTTGCACAAGTTATAAAAGGAGGCCTGTTTGAGTTAACTTTTACATTTTGAAACTTTCCACCCTGGAAAGATGGAAAGATGTCATTATAATAAACACTTATTTCTACTTGGGATTCTGCTAGAGCACTAATGTGCTCCCACCATTTATGTAGGGTTACTATTATATTACCAGTTAGGTTACATCTTCTTTTATAGTATAAAGTATATAGGAATCAGTAGAGTTGGCACTAACAAATATGATTCTGACGGAGCAACATAACCAGTATAAATTAACATTCTTAAGCAGGAAACATCTGGAAAATGGAAAGGAAGAGGGTTCAGTCCAACCAGAAGAGCGGCACTCACGTACCTTAAGGACTTCCATCGGCACCTGGGTGGCAGAGGGAAGGGTGGTGGGCACACTGACGTTTATGGCTGGTGTCTGACTCACAGGAACTCTCTGTTGCATGAACTGGGCTGCCTGCAGCTTCTGCTGCTGCTCCCTGCGCTCCTGCTCCTGCATCTGCTCACGCATGAGTTGCTGGCGTAGCAAGATCCGTGATGTCATACTGGAGGAGCTTATCGGAGGCTTGGAGGCCCCAGGATGCTCCGCGGAACTGCTGTGGGAAAACCAAAATGCACACAACATTTAGTTTCCTAATGAGACCCTTCGTTTACATTTTGGGATATCCTAAATGGCACCAAACTATGAAATGAGCCTGCACAAATATAATCAAGTCACAGAAAAGTACTCCACATAATTGAAAATCAAGAGGTGACAGGATTTTAGTCATTAGTAGTTGAATTAAAATAAGTCAGCTTGATTGCATCCAAGCATTTTTATCAAGCTACTTAGGGGCTTTTTTTTTTTTATACAGCACACTACTCATCACCACCAAATATAGTGCCGCCATATGCAGTGTCAAGCCATGAGTCTTAATGGCACCCAAATTTAAAAATAAATTGCCTGACTTTGCTTTTTGAAATAACCAACTTTAACCAAACAAGTACTCCTACAAATTATATAAATTCCTTGAAGGCCTCTAAAATATTTGCCAGTAAGGAATTATGTAAACAAAAGGTGAGGTTTATCATGGGGAAATGTTTCTAAGACATGGGAAGTAAAAATCATTTTTTGACCAAAATGTTAACACTGAACTCAACCCCAGTCTTAAGGCAAAAGGGCAAAAAACAGCCTCCTCTGACAACACAACCCTTCTACCTTTCTTTGTACTCTCTTTTTTTCCGATTAATCTTGGCATATTATGGCTATAGAGCGCTCTGCTGCGCAGTCTGCTACTAATGATTTTAGGACTTCTACTCAAACTTACTTAAAATGCTTAATACTAGTCAAAAATTAAGAATAGAACACTTCATAATTTTCCTAGGTATATCTTTTGGTTGCTCATCTGGCCAACTCCATAATACTAACTATTTAAACTTCACTCTGCCTTAGTTACCATACTCAGAATAGAAGAATGACAACAACTTGATACCCATTTACCCATTTATAAAAGAGAAAGTGTGTTTTTATACTTCCAGTACATCATTTATATTTTAGAGGCCTTCTCATGCAATGAGTATCATGTAGCATTATTAACTTATTTCTCACAATACAATTTTTAAATCTCTGTGTAAGCTAAATAGTATAAAACCTTAGCATCTGGAAATACATTAAAGGAACATTTGAGAAAATACTGCCTCTACACAGGCTTCAAGAGAGGTACCTGCCCTTGATTTACCTCCCTTGAGTCCAGACCCCAGTATTGCTTAACTTCGTACCAGGTAAACTAAAGCCTTCAAATCAGCAACCATCCTTATAAACTGCTCAAGAACAGGAACCTGCAGAGTCTGCAGGAATGTGCTACAGGATGATGATGTTTTTGTTTTTGTCCTCACATGGTCCCAGGAAAACCATGCAGAAAAATTATTTTAGAAGTTTATCTTCAACATTTAAAATTGGTTCAGTTCATTGTAATGGGTTTACACAATTTAACACTATTCCATCATTAAAATGGGTTAGAAACACACTTATTGATAAGAAAGCTATAAGATGCAATAAATTTTAAAAACACAGATGCAAAATAGCACCCTAGGTAGGATCAATTCCTTAAAAAAAAAAAAAATGTTCAGGGTCAGGGTTATAGTTCAGTGGCAAAATGCCTGCCTGAGTTTGATTCCCAATATGCCCTCCAAATGTTCATTATAAGACAACAAATAATGATAATGTAACTCTAGACCAGTGGTGATGAACCTATGGCGCCTGTGCCACAGTGGGCTGTTTATATTACTGAAAGCTCTACAAGGTTCACCATCACTGCCTAGGCCATTGCTGGTAGACATTATAACCCTTTAAGGAAACAAACAAATGTTATCAAATGAAGTTATAAAGTTGTTCATTCAATTGGATTCAGGAATTTCACTGACGGACAATTTTCCCAAGTAATTCAAATGTGGCAAAACTGATAATACAAATCCTTTACAAACTGCAAAATATTCTGAATCACCTATAATTTGCCCATAAATTGTAAGAATGGTTAAGTAAACTCTGATACATGAATTCAACAAAATACTACACATTTTTAAAAATTGCACAACTACAGAGCCAACTAGGAAATGCATGCAAGAAAAGTAAATTATGAAATAGAACACAAAAATGTATTGACATTCTGGTTTCAAATAGATACGGCATGTCCACAAACACAAAATGCCTGGCAGAGAGTGAGTAGCAGTGATCACAGTTGCAGAGTGGGAGTGGAATTTTAGGTAAATTTACTCTCTTCACTTTTTCTCCTCTAAATTATAAAGCAATAATACTTTTTTGAGTAGCATACTCATTTACCATTTGGCTAGAAGAAAGGAGATTGGACTCATCACAGACAGCATTTTGTCAGTTAGAGGGAAAACACATTGGTTCTCTATGGTCTTCAGTATCCAAGAAAGGCAAAGCTTCTTTCCTTCGTTTTCATCCATATTATGCCCAGAGAAACTGAACGTTAATACTCTGCCTACTATTTTAATATATGGGCTCATCCACATAATAAGAACAGTCCCTAGACATTACTGTAGTCACTTAAAACAATCTATTCGTGCCCTAAGGGTCTACTAAAAGGACAACAGAAGAAAATGTATTTTCCCATCTTTGAGTATGTGTTCAAAGCTCAGATGTACTTTCCTAAGCCGGGGTGTGTGGGGAGGGACTATTTAAAATAAATAAATAAATGCGTGGTCTTACTATTGAAAGCCTGTCAAGTCCAAACATTCCCAAAGAGACTGATCCTTTTGATAAAAACAGGAGCAAACCTTTGTGCAGTAGCAAATGCAGCTGTGGAATAATCGCACTAATTAGCTGCACAAGACAAGTCATTGGCTGTGATACTGGGAGGAAAATCCTTTCAATTAACAGTAAAGCATTCCAGAGACAAATTAAAATTACTAGTTATCAACCACACTAACGTTTCATACTTGAAAGTCAACAGTATCACTTAAGCATTTTCTGAAGTCTATCGGGAAAAAAAAGACACATATACAGATAGGTGCAAATAAATTGAAACCTACTAAAAGAATACAGAAAATATAGTTTTACATCTGTATAAATATAATAAAGTTCAGCTAATTGACATTTTTTTAACAAATCTTCCCAAAAAGTACAAAGGAAGGATCAGAATCATTTCACTGCACAGATATATACCCTGCAGGATATCTCCATATTGTGAAAGATGACTCCCAGATTCCCAGCAGCAATTGAATCTGTAATTATCACTTATAGAAAAAAATGAGCACATCTGTTTTTCACTACCTTAGAAAGACAAATGAAACCAACACTTTAAACTCAGAACTGAGGCTTATGTGAGGCTCTCCTAGGTGGCTGTCATTCTTATTTTTAAAACATGAAGACCTGACACTGAAGCTACTAATGACATACAAGGAGAGATGTCCAAATGTATTTAATTTTAAAAGTGAACTGAACTCATCCCAGACCCACAAATCTCAACCCTGGGTAGATAATCCTAATTCCATGAGTCAGATTCTTTTTAATCAGATTACGTTAAGGTCATTTATGCAACAAACAGTTACTGCCAGGTGCTGGAGTACCTGGCTTCTAACCTCACAGTTTAAAGCCGTGGTCACAAATCATTCTTCAATATGCCCTAAAATTAAGTAAATTATCTAGATGATTGGAATCTGATCTACTTCTGCATGGGAGGGTGTCCATCTCCCCCTAAGAAATGAAAGCCAACTGGCACAGAGGCAAATGCCCTTACTGGCACATCCCCAAATCTCTGCAGCCAGGCACCACAACTCCTCTGACAATGGAAATTACTCCATGTAGGTTCAAAGAGGGAGGTCATTAACAGGGCTCAGGTTCTAGCTCTATCAATGCTGAGAAGCCTGGTCTTTAGGAAGCCACTTATCTTCTTTGGGTTTGCACAACCCGTCTCCCAAATGCACTAGAGGGACTGGGTATGCTAACACTGGCTGAACTGAAGTGTTTTACATAGCAGCTGTAGTACAATGGATGCATAACAGCCACTAAATATCACCTGAATTCAAACCTTTACAGGTGAATTTATGTTGTTAAATGTCAGAGCCCGCTTCTGCTCTGTGATAAAGTATATCACACAGGCGCCCTTAATTATCTTGCATGTCCCTAAATCTAAATAGTTTATACCATTGCCTTCATCAACAACTTTAATACAGAACTTTATAACAGAAATTATATTAATTCAATACTCCAGCATCTGCCAATGTCTGCTTGCCCCCTGACCTTTGACAATGATACCAGTACCCCTTTTTTGACCATATGAATCAATCTTTGATCCCCATATCACAATCCGCCAAGGCAGGAATTTGATAAGTTAAAATCCAAAAAAGTTGAAGGAACTTAGTAAATACTTTCCTTTTCCTTTCTTCAACTCCTCAGGTAGAACATAGTTCTGCCCCATAGTAACCAGTGTCGGTAGCTAAGTTAGTAAACCTCTATATACTTTGGTTTTCCTTGTTTACAAAGAGTGCCAGCATTGCAGTGAAGACTGAAATTCAAAAGTGATATGAAAAGCTTAACACAATGACTGAAAATAGTAGTAAAAATTGTAATATTTGAGCAACAAACATGCTACGTTTTGACTTTTATATTCTTATAAAATTTTTTGCGTCTACAAAAAATGCTGGACCACAGAAGATATTTTATACAAAATTCAAACAATCCCAGTTTAATTCTGAGAACCTGACAAACTTTTATATAGAGAGAAAAGACAATTTCTCGCACAAGCCTTTAAGAATTTTAGTCTTTTTCTACAATAAAAAAAAAATTATAGTCATCCATTTGATCAAGTTCACAGCTTAGCAAGTGTTCACTTGTTGGGGGAGAGTGGTTACTTATACCAGGAAGAAGTGATGGCACAATTTCAGACGTAACACTCAGGAAGGCTCAGAGTATTTACATCACATACAGGTAAGACAGATTAAGTTCCAGCAGTCTCCAGATGCAAAAGGCTGGCTACAACAAAATCAGCCAAGGACTCTAAAATAAAAATGCCAAGTCCCATTACTGGAAATTTTGATTTCAGTTTAAGTAAGTCCCAGAAATTGATACCTCTACAATAAATCTGCAGCTGAT